TATATAATATGGTTTAATAAAAACAGGAAAGTTCTCAAAATAGTAATAATTAATTTAAATATATATTTTAAATAACATAAAATATACCTTTGAAGTAATAAAATACTTTATATCTATATCTTCTTAGATAAAAAAACAATATCTGTATATAATGAGATTTCATAAAAAAAAATTCACACAAAAAATATTGCTATTAGAAAAAGAAATATTTTTTTCCTTAAAAAAATAATTTTAAACAATAAAATATATATATTTTCAAAATAATTATGATTACATAAAATAATCAACTAACATAAACTGATATATGTTTAACTGACATTTTTTTATAATTAGTATTATTGAAATTATTTTTTTAGTATATTTATTTGACTATAATATCTTACAATTACAGTAAAAATATAAATTGTATTTTACTTATATAGTATAATTTTTCAAAAACAATCACTTTTTACTGACTATTTTAAGAGATACTAAAAATAAAACTAAAAATAAATTTAATGATAAACATCTTTTGATCAAGTAACTACAATTATTTTAAAATATCATAACACTATATAATTTAACGAGGTAGATATATTATATTTTAATAGTTAAAATTATCTGTTCTAAGAATAAGGATTCTGATTTACTTAAGTATTTTGATTATGGTTATATTAAGTTTCACAAGCATAAAAACAGAAAATAACTACAGTTATTTTAAAATACCATAACACTATATAATTTAACGAGGTATATATATTAAATTATAATAGTTAAAATGATCTGTTTTCTTAATAATCTTTTGATTTTTGATTTTTTTGTTTTTATGTTTGTGAAACTTAATATAACCATAGTCAAATACTTAAGCAAATTAGAATCCTTATTTTTAAAATTATTTAAAATAAATTTCAGTTTACCATCCAAACAATCTAAAGCATAAATTTATTTAGAATTTATAAAATATGTTAACTATTGTAAATATTGATATGTGTTCAAAAATCTTCTAGAAATTCATTAGTTAC